ATCATGGTTCTGGAGATCTACCTTCCTGTTGAGTTTAGTTCCGGTCTGCACCCAACATTGGGCCTCCTATTTACTTACCACTAATGCATCTGATCCAGCCAATCAAGGACTTCTGACAAAGGTAATTAGCTGGAGCAGATGTGGAAGATTGTGGTTGAAACTAGATTCTGCGAGAAGGTAGATCTCCAGGACCAGGGTTGGTGACCACTGGTATTGTCTATAGTGTAGATCAGTGGTGCCCGAACTGTTTCTTCCCTTGATATTTTAGGGTGTTTTGACACCTGAAAGACTGGACCAACATCCAAACCTCACAACAAGAAGGGCCTGGGTTTGATTACCTGGCCGGTTAACCAGGGTCCTTTCTGTTTAGCTTGCATTTTCTCCCCATGTCTGTGTATGTTGCCTTCGGGTGATCTAATTTCTTTAGTCAGGTGAATTAGAGATGCTAAATTGACCCTAAGTGTGTGTGGGTAAATGTATATGTCTGTGTGTCTGCCCTGTGATGGGCTGGCGGCCTGTCCAGGGTGTTTCCTGCCTTCCACCCAAGGCTTCAGCAACCCAGATGAATTAGTGGCTTAGATAATGAGTGTGTATACGTTTGATCTGGTTAGTTTTGGTTTCACATCGCAATTTAGTAAGCGCACTAAATAACTTTGCATGACACACCTACATCCTGTCATCATCACCTACTTGGACTGCATCTGACTATACTTAACATTGACTGGTTTGTAGACGAGCGCGTGTCTGACGTGTCAGCGCGTGTCAGGGGGTGGTCAATTCAGTGGGCAGCCTTTTCCGTTTGAATGGAGAAAACTGAATAACCTCTGTTTCACGTCCTCTCAGAAAATATAACGTATAAGTTTTGGCATTTTATGCATTGTTTCAAGTTAACTTGACTTTTTTGTTGAACCAATTTCCTTTAAATATTTCATCTCCTCTCCCAGTGTGCTACCGCAACTCATTTTTACTTCTCTCCCAGTTTTGTTTCTTCTTGTTTAACAGGTGATGAAAGCCTGCATCAACCTTCTGTAACTGGTCTGAAAGTCTGAACCAAATAAGTATTTCAACACTGCAAACAAACCGAACCATGGTTCAGTTTGATCCAGACCGAGACCGCCTCTTTTTTCGGTCCTTTGGTCCAGACCATGGTCTGAGGCACCTTTCACACACACTATTTTGGTCCAGACCTGTCGCCGAAAAGGAACTGAAAAGGAACTAATATGTCTGAAGGTCTGGGCCAAACAAGGTAGGTGTGATAGCACCCTTAGTCATTCCCCTACTACACACATACCTGATCGAAATAATCAGCTCATTGACAAGCCTTTCCAAGCTGAAGTGAGAGTGTAATGACAAAAAAACTATGTGCCGGGCAGTGGGGTCCTTTAGGACCAGGGTTGGAAACTTGTGGCATAGACTACAATACAGCGTAGACCTCCCTTGACCAGACTGAAGGCTCAGAAAATTTACTAACAGGGTCTTAAATTACATTGCTGTACACCTCAAACTGTAAATATTTTGCACATATTTTACACTTCTACATTTAAAAAAAACAAAAAAAAAAAAACATGAGATTTACTCACCAGTAACTCTGAGGTTGATCTGTGTGGTGTAAACCTTGTATCCATGATCAGATGTCCAGTCTGATTCAGCTCCACACCAGTATTCACCAGAGTCTCCCTCAGTCAGACTGTTGATGATCACAGTGAAGATCTGCTTTCCATCATCATGTAGATACAGTTTTCCCTCATTTATCCATCTTCTGCTCTCTTTAACAGATGTTTCATAAATACAGTCAGCAGTGTCCACTCTCCTACAGAGAAACTTGGGGTCACTGCTGTGGGAGTGTGGGTATTTGCAGCTGATGTTCACATGTTCTCCTACAAGAGCAGACTCAGTGATGTTCTTCTCAAAGAAAGTATCTGTCAATCATAAACAATGTTAAAACTCTTACATGAGGCCCCACAGGTTTTATGTAGTCAAACTTGATATTGTTACAATGCTGTGATTTTAGAGAAAAACATATCTACTCCTTCTGTAGTAACATAATACACATTACTATGACCATCTGGCCAAACCCTCCTGTTAAAAGTATGCTTAGGTCACAGGAGGAGATAGCGACAGAAAGCACATGGACACTAATATATTACAGGTTGACAAAATAATGTAGAGGGAATGATATGCAGATTTATAGAAAAGGGAGTTTTATATCACAATTACTGTTCTTTGATTTTAATAGGAGTTTGTACATTCACCCTCACTGTAACTGATGCTAATGATGCTGGAAGTCTAGAACAATAAACAGTTGACAGTGTGGAAGAGACTCACCATTCTGTACATTCAGTTCCACTGGTGTGTAGACATCAAAGTCCAAATATATATCAGCTCCACACTTGTAAGTTCCAGAATCCTCTACAGTGAGTTCTCTGATCAACACCCAGAACTCTGCAGCTCTGGTGTTATCAAACAGTGAGAATCTTCCACTATTTATCCACTCATTTTTAACTTCTGTCTTGATCTGGTCAGCACAGTTTGGCCATGAACGCTTACAGAAATATTTCTGGTTTGATGTGTATCCTGTATCATATGTGCACTTGATGAGGACTCCTCCTCCTGAATATCCCATCACTCTCTCTGATTCTCTTCCACCTACTAAATAAGGTCCACATCTAAGTAAAGGCTTCATTTGATGCTGATAGTGATGATTATTTAGAAGAGCATCTCCTTACCTGAAATCAGGAAGAGGGTGAAGATGAGGAGGATCTTCATTCTGAGTTCAGTTCACAGATCAACACCAACTCAGACAGATACCAGAGCTCCTGAAACTTGTATCGTGTCTCTGTGTGACTATGACTGTCCTGCACCTTCAGCTCGGTGTTAACTGTAAACTGACGTCATGCCCACTTCCCCTTTTTACCCCAAGAGGATTGCAGTGGACAGAAACATTCTTTCGCTTATTGAGTACACCATGGTTTAACATGTTTCGCAAAAGTTTTCTCCATTTGAGCTGCTTTTTAGCAGGTATTACAATTTGCTCTGTGAATGGGTTCACATTTATTACTCCATATTTAAATCTACTTGTTAATGTCATTAATTCTGTACTGGCCTCGATCAGAAGTCCTCTTTTTTCCTCAGTAACTGGGAAAGAAAGGTACAGTATGACTAACTATGCATGGGCCAGTATTAAAAATATATCATGATAATTACCCAACCCTATTCAAGATGCTATCACAATATGGCATTTATAAAGACATTATTTTATGTTTTGAACATCACTCTTTAAAAATACGTGTGCAATATTTACCATAAAATAATTAATTAGAAAATAATTAAAAAAAAAAAAAACTGGCCACTTGATGCTCACTGTGTATCATTATTTTCACTAGGCCTTGCATAGAACAATGAGATCTTACTGTGAAGCTTTCCCAACATAAAATACAATTTGTAACAAACTACTGTACATTATTATACATTATAATATAACCATCTTGTACATGTGATGCCAGTCAATACATAACAGTGATTAATGAGGTAATATTTATTTTATTAAAACACCTGCGGTGATAATGCCTTTTTCTGCTAATGGGAAAATGAGACTCTCCATTATATGATAGCGTCAAGCTAAGGACGGGGACATTTGGGTTCAGTTTAACTTAAGTTAAAGTTAAAGAAAGAAAGAAATCTCACAACAGACATTCAGGTACATTTTTCCACTTTGTATGCTATAGCTATTGCAGCATCAGCAGAAGACAAAACACAGGAATAGCCATAATCTGCTGCAAGAAGTGTTCTTTATTAAACACACTAGCAGAAAAGCGCACATCCAAACTAAAGGAGTCACCTCTAGCCAATGAATTCATCCGGTACATTATCCCACTTCCTGACACCAAATAACACGTACACATAAACTAAAATCCAACAGTAAGCAAGATAAATAGTCCCTTTTCAGGAGGGCTACCATGAGCCTTTGTGTGTGGCCATCTGCATCTCAGTCCTTAGCAGCAAGCATCGCCCAGTTCTCTCCCAGGGCCATACCCCCACTGTCACGGCTCTTCCAGTGTATTGTAGAGCTTCCCATGGCGTGCTGCGTCAAATCCTGCACAGCTGGGGTGGGGGCTTGTTCCAGCCCCACTGTTGCTGTCCCAAATGCTGCTTGTGCATGCTGGCCCTCCACCACTGGTGATTGCTTTCCAGCTGCATGAAGTGCCCCTCTTGGTGAGCGTGCTGGTTGCAGTAGAAATATTAGCAAGCACAGCAACCACACTTGACCCACTACCGCTGAACCTATCTCTTCTCTCTCACAACTGCTACACTGCTTGCAAGCTCGGCAAGGGCACTTCAGTCATGTCCTGTCAGCTCAGGGGATCGAACTGGCAACCTTCCTGTCACAAGACTGGTTCCCTAACCTCCAGCCTACGCCTGCTCCTCGTACATTACACATCACTGATATTACTCAACACATTTTTATACAAATGACTCGTATCATTCCTAGATTATGTTATCTGAAATACAGTATCATAGTACATGAGAGAAAATCAGTTGGTATATTTTTCTACAATCATCCTTTTCAGATCAACACACTCTGATAACTTTACGCACATCTCATTGACTGAATTACGCAGAAATTTTGAAAAAATATGGAATTCCCTGATAAACAGTTTGTAAAAAAACATTATGTCATCATTCATAAGCAACACGCCAATCAAAGATGTTTTGTATCACATCTACACATTAAAAAATAATGTATAGGTGAAATATTGTTGCATGCTGCTTAAGAGGCACATCACTGTTAATGTAAATCAGCCTTAATGAAGCCAAAAAAAAAAACAAAAAACATTTACATAGATCTAGAAGTAAAAGTATTTTATTTAATTAATTGATTTTTTGATAGAAATGGATGAGAACCGATGGAAACAAATGAGTCTAACATGCTGACCCATCCACATCACCTGGCATGTTTCACAGTAACGTAGACATGAGTCCTTCTCTTTGGTCAAGGTTGCCGTAGTAAAAGCTTCATTAGAACTGTCCTCATTCCTGCTGAAATTCACTGTTGAGTATGTTGGACATTCAGCAGATTCTCCAGCTGAATGCTAAGTGGCACTCGCTGAGGAATCAGAGAGAATTGTGGGTAACTGAGCTGTGGAGTAGATGTCCTGATCAGGAGAGTTTGATGGTAACTGAGCAGGAGAATAAACAGGATTTGAGAAATCACTGCTTGAGGGTAACTGGACATTATCATCGACAGTTTGAGAAGGTTCTGAGGGGTTTGTGGGTAACTGGACACTATCATAAACAGTTTGAGAAGGTTCTGAGGGGTTTGAGGGTAAATGGACATTATCATAAACAGTCTGAGAAGGTTCTGAGGGGTTTGTGGGTAACTGGACATTATCATAAACAGTCTGAGAAGGTTCTGAGGGGTTTGAGGGTAACTGGACATTATCATAAACAGTTTGAGAAGGTTCTGAGGGGTTTGTGGGTAACTGTACATTATCATAAACAGTCTGAGAAGGTTCTGAGGGGTTTGTAGGTAGTTCAGCAGTAGAGTAAACTGTGGAAACATCAGCATCTGAGGAAAACATGTTTTTAATCTCCTCATGGACCGACAGAACATGTGGAACCTGAGAAAAGAGAGAAAACTGGAGTCTGTCAGTTGTGTTAAAGGGAGCTTTACTTTCATTGTAGTGTATAATTGATAAACAATTTTTCCACTCAATTTTGTGTATGTACATGTTAATCTTTCAGCTATTGAAAGTTCAGTATTGTGTGCATTTCATTTGTTGATTCTTGTACAGTAGCGATCTACTAGCGTGAGTATCTTGACTCACCTCCTGGTTGCTTGAGGAGCCAATGATGGATTGGTTTTGGTATAAAATTCGCCCTTAGGAAAAAAGAAAACTTGACGATAAAGCAGCCAAATTAAGAAATATGTCTGCATTGTGGAAATTAAATAAGAACATAGTATAGGTTACTGTATAGATAACATCAATAAGATTAATCTGAGAATGTGTACATTGTCTTTACATCACTTCTCATGATTTATAGGCAGCAGAGGGCAGCATCTGTACGTCATGGTTAGTCCACTGGACCTTTCTTAAAGTGTGCTTAATGTTTGTCAGAGAACGTTGTCAATTTCTTAGATTTAGGAGAATTTTTAGTCCAAGAAAGGGTGTCTGTGAGTGTGTGTGATGGTACCTTGAGTCTTACTTCTCTTTCGCTGAGCATATATGAAGAATAAGAGTCCAACCAGAAGCAGCAGCAGCAGAATCACAGATGTACCAGTGACCACAGAGAAAATGAGAAATTCTGGAGGTGGAGAAACAGAATCATAAATAGGGAATCATTCACAAATAATAATCGAATCATTTAGAAATGACTATGTGAGCATTTTTTTTTTAATTTTTGCACTGTATGTAAGCACCTGTAGCTGAAGAAAAAGCAAGTGTGCTGTTAGAAGATGAGGGTGTGGTTGTTTTTGTGGTCGCTGAACTGTTGCATGACACTGAACAAGGCAAAACACTGAGATCTAAAGGAAACAAACATGAGTTTGTTAGGACATCTGTGTACATGAACTTATTTCTGCTTAATGTTCAAGTTAAAGAGGTTTTATGGTCATTTCAGCTCTATACAAGTACACAGTGAAATGAAACAACATTCCTCCAGGACCAACACAGGAACACAAGTGCAAAACAATGCAATATACACAGTGCAGACAATACAGTGTAATAAATACTAAGCACAGGCAGTACACGATACTGAGAATACGTAGATTATGCAAAGCAGGATGTGACACATTACACAACAGTAGTCACACAAGGCCACGCAAGCTGATTGGTTGAGAAGCATTCTAACCGTGCAGCAGGTTTTTTTCACAAACACTGTATCACTCCACAGAGACGCCATTGCTAAGCAATGACTTTGACAGCTGTAGGAGACCCTCAAGCCATTTGAACATTTTTACTTCTTACTTTGCCGCAAACAGAAAATGGACACTTTTAAGATCACATTTGACCGACAGACGATTTGGTCAGACTGTCAAGATGAGACGACACTAAATCCCCAAACTGTCATCACCACTGAGGAGCTTTTCAGTCAGCAGCTGTGACAGAAGAACAGCTAAACAACCTGGAATCAGCCAGAAATTAACCCAATACCATTCGCCAAACTAAATGGACTGTAAGATGCTTTACAGACTGGCTGGAACAAAACAACATTAATACTGATCGGCAAAAACTGACAAAACTGAGCTAAACTTGATATTGCGTCAGTTTTATGGCTCAGTCCGTACTTCAAAGGTGAGGCTTACAGCAGACTGTGCAGCGAGTGGGCGGAGCTCGTTACTCTGATGTAGCAACAAGCTGCTTGTTAAGGAACTATAATTTGGCTGAAGGAACTGCGAACATTAAAACATATTAAACGCCGCGTTCGCGTCCCAGTTTATTAATTTCTCACTTTATTCATTTAACTGTTGTAAAAAAAGCAATAGAACTCTTGAGGTTGTGTGTTATTGTGAATAACATCACGGCTGTGATGATCTATGGCAACCAAATCACAGCCGTGATGTTATTTCGCAATAACACACTCCCTCGGTGTTCTATTGCTTAACTATGACATATTTAGCAGATAGTCTAGCATTTATGATCACAGCTGCCACTGAGGTAGCAACCAGAACAGCAATGGAGTACAGTATTTGGTTAGTACAATATTCTAGCAGCTAATAATGTTAAAGAAATGTGCAAAAATGCAAGTAAGCAGATATGAATTATATTAGGTAAAGTATTTCAGTGTGAAATGCAGTAACTATATTTAAATACAGTGTCACAGACACAATCTGAAATTTCAACAAGTGGACAGTGAGATGGCCTCATATTGTTATGTATATGTGTGTGTTTGGTCCGTGTGGGTGTCCTTCAATTCAGTCCATAGGAGTTGAGGAATCTGATGGCTTGTAGAAAGAAACTGTTGCACATTCTGGCTGTGAGGGCCCGAATGCTGCAATACCTTCTTTCAGATGGCAGAAGAGAGAACAGTTGGTGTGAGGGGTGTGTGGGGTCAGTCACAATGCTGGTGGCTTTTCGGATGCAGCATATGGTGTAAATATCCATGATAGAGGGAAGAGAGACCTTTTCAGCTGTCCTCACTATTCATCAGAGGGTCTTGCGGTCGAAGGCAGTGCAATTCCCAAACCAGACAAACTCTCAGAAGGTACTAAACTGTCACTGGGGCAGTGCCCCTCTTGTCACTGGGTTGGTTCCCTTAAGGGTATATCTCAGTATCTTTAGTCAGGGAACATAACTGAACCATAATCCACTGAAATGATATGTTCTAAGCTGTACTGACTCCACACACCCCGTCTCGTCTCCAGGCTTTTATTTTACTGTTCTGTTTTAAAACATTCGGTTATGAAAAAGTACAAATATGAACTTTTCATCTGGAAAAACGTATTTAAGGTTCACAATCGGACCTTAAAACCACTGTTGTACCTTTGAGGGAACATTTGCTCTGTTTGTACCTTGATGAACGAAAAATGTACCTGGACAGAACCTTTATTTCTAACAGTGCAGTTATACAGCTGCTCTATGTTTATCAAGATAAATATGATCTAGATATTTTACCTGTTGTTTTTATCTCAATTAAGGATGTTCCTGTGGTTTTAGATGTTGAGAATATGGTTGCTTTTATGCCTTGTGGAGTTGTTCTTGATGAGGATGATCTTGTTGCTTGTTGTTCTTGTTCTGGTAATGAAGATGTTTAAAGCTTGGACATTGAAGTCTTACGGTATGTGTAAGGATGCATATCACAAACTCTGAAACAGCATGTGGCAGGTGCGTTTGCAGTTGCTGAAGCACCCACAATTATGAAGATAAATTTAGAATTTCTCAGTGATGCTCATTGAAGTTTGGTATTAAAATGAATTCATTTGAGGAGGTGTGAATGCAGGCTTTTCTCAGTTCCTCATTTAAATACTATGATTATTTGCAAGAAATCATGTCAGAGAAAAGAACTTGTGTCCCCCTTATCCCCCCCTCCGCCTCTCCCCCCCCCTTTCCCTGAGCTGAGCGGCTGCCCGTCTTAAGAGGGTCTGATGTGAACCCCACTCAATCATGTCCCAGGGGGATCTGATATGGCCGGCACACTGTACAGAAGTGTAAAACTGCATCCACTTATACTGTTTTGTGTCTGTGCTGTTATCCAGTCTCAATGTGTATTAAGCAATCAGAAATGTATGGTCTTTCTCGGCCCACACTATGACACAAAAGACACCACAAGATACAGCACAGACTCCGTTTACTTGTGTGTATCTGTCACTGGCCGATCCTCTCTGTCTCTGCCCTGCTGACCAGCTAGACTTATTAATCTCCAGAATAATCCCATAATTCTGTAACAACTGTCCTGCTAACTAGACCTAAAAACAGCCTTAATAGTCTCCACAATATTCCCATAGTTCTATACCAACTGCCCTGCTAACCAGACATACAGATTTATTAATCTCCAACATGGTCTCATAGTTCAGTACTAACTCTCCTGCTAACTAGACCTAAACACACCCTTTTAAACTCTAAATGTAACTCATAGTTATATATCAATTGTCTTGCTAACCAGACCTGCAGCCTTATTAATCTCCAAAATAGTCCCGTAGTTCTATTAACCACACCCACGTCTAGATTACACCATGCTTCTGTATTTGAATGCAGATACTAATACCTATAAAAAAGCAAAAATGAAGGAGCACTGAAGAAGGTGTCCCGGGGACATGGATGCAGCAAACTCAAGGTAAGGATTTTGCTCTGAGAGTAATGTGATTCATATGCATCCACAATAAATATAAAAAATAGATCCAAAAACAAAAAAAATCCTTAAAAAAAGATATAAATATATATATTAAAAATGTATATAATTATTATTATTTTTTGATATGCCATTTTTTTGTGTCTTGATAATGCCGCTACCCATCAGCTCATTTTTATGTATGTTGACATGTTAATAAAGACTTTTAAAAGTCTTTCTTAAGACGGTGGGCCTGGAATTTTTTTTTGCTCTGGGATCTACTTTGGATTGCTCACCAGTAACTCTGAGGTTGATCTGTGTGGTGTAAACCTTGAATCCATGATCAGATGTCCAGTCTGATTCAGCTCCACACCAGTATTCACCAGAGTCTCCCTCAGACAGTCTGTTGATGATCACAGTGAAGATCTGCTTTCCATCATCATGGAGAGAGAGTTTTCCTGCCACTATCCACCTTCTGCTCTCATTAACAGATGTTTTATAAGGACAACTACTATACCCCACCCTCCTACAGAGAAACTTGGTGTCACTCCTATGTGATTGTGGGTATTTGCAGCTGATGTTCACGCTTCTTCCTACATTGCCACTCACACTGATGCTCTTCTCATAGGATTGATCTGTTAGTAATAAACAAGCAGATGAAAACAATTAGATATAACCCTAACCTTCACATGGTAAAACCCTGTCATATTCTGATAAAAGTGTAATTACAGGGAGAATTGGTACAAATAATTTTACAAATTGACAGGAACCCAACTGACTGATTACATTTATGACATTTGGCAGACGGTCTTATCCAGAGCAACTTAGAATCTGATCATTCTACACAGGTAGGCGAAGGTAGTTTTAGGAGACTTGCCCAAGGACTCTTATTGGTATACTGTAGGGTGTTTGCCCAGGTGGGGGATTGAACCCCAGTCTACTGCGTAGAAGACAGTTACCCACTACACTATACCAACCATTTCACTCATACATTACTCAAGACTGCTATGATTTACATTTAGAACTGTTTATCTACCATTCACATTTTAAATATTATTATAATAGGATCTAACTACCACCTTAGATTAGGTCATTCTCTGCTGCTTGGTTGCTGTGGCTTTTTGAACGTGGGTTGGTTGACTGTGTTGGGCCTTTGCCTAAAACAAAAGCAAGTAATCAGTATTTCATTGTGCTTTATTAATGACTGTAGGCAGCCACAGCCATGCCATGTATTAAAGCAGGCTTTAGGCTAACAGCTACCTCTACACTCAGCTCATGTCTGCACTTTCTCACTTCTGAGCTCGCACTGACTAGTTCTTCCTGTTGTAAAGCGAAAAACATTGAAGGAGTGCTAGTCCCGCCTTCAAAGTAAGAGTCTTTGTCAGAATAAACACAGAAAATAACTGATGGAGAATAATAGCCCAGAATTAACATGCAGAACATTTCATGAACCCCACCCCTCTTACCCCAAAAAGTTGTTGAACCGAACTGGGGGCTGCCCTCTTCTCCTGGGGCATGGGACTAAATTTGCTGGGGAGTCATCTGTACTGACTGGTGCTGGCGGGCAGCTGAATGCCAACTCTGTGGCATCCACTCTGTTGGTGTGCCGGAGTGGAGAGACTGAATTTGGGTGCCTGACTTATGCAGTGGCCTTTCTTAACTGTGCACTAGTCACAGCAATGCACAAACAGCTCCATGTATAAATCCTGTGCCACTCTTGGCACCAACATCAGCAGCAGTGGCACTCCTCTCACCTGCCCTTTGCTTTCTCTGACAACATCTGCATCATCAACACTAACAAGGGTGTTACTCATGTGCTCCACTCTGCACTGGGCATCTGGTGGGTTCATTATCACTGCATGGCTACCTCTCAAACTTATCGTGGAACTCCTTAGTCCAGAATGCACATTGTGGACTTCAGTTGTCCAGACTAAATGGTGCATCTTCATGCCCCCAGCTGTCAGAGTCAGCCCATGATTAGTGCTAGCTCACCAGTCACCATATGGAAACAAACTGTCATGCATTCTAGCTTGAACCCAGCAGGTACCACCGGCTGGGCCACTGTGACGGCTGACCATGTGTCCACCACATCAGTGCATGGAACTCCATTGGTGTTGATGGAAATATGGCAGAAGTCTGTCATGAACATTCACCCCACCACAGTCAATGTTTGTTCGCTGCTGGTGCTGTTTATTTTGGCTAGGCCAGCATTCGTACCTGCTGACTTTACTCTCAATGGACAAACCCTACCCAAATGTCTGAGCTGGCCGCATGTTCAACACTGGTGGCAGCCCATGCCACTGGCGGGTATGGCTACAGGTATGTTCAGTGGGCAAGCCCCAGCCAGATGTCTTGGTCAATAGTCTCGTGCTACCTGCTGTATGGCTGAGGTAATGCACAGCAAAGGAAGGCTAACCTCGCCTTCACAATAAAAGTCTTTGTTAGAATAAACCTAGAAAATAACTGCTGGCAAACAACATCCTAGAATTAACATGCAGAACATTTCTTGAACATGCTCAAGATCTTGCAAGTCCATTTGCCAAATGTTAAGTACATATATACAAAATCCTCAATCACGCAATCATCACATATGTCTATCAATACAATTGCATTTCCATACCAAACATTCAAGTGATGCTATCAAATCAGCAAAAAGCAAGAACACAGTGGAGTCTCTAAAGGTGGGGACCCCATGATAACACTTAAAATGAGAGAATATGTACTTCATAAAGGGATCTAGACAATTACATTCTCCAAAACAATTCCTGATTTTTGTTCTTTATTGGATTCTGTACATTCAGCCTCCCTGTATCTGATGCCAGTACAATAATAAAGAGATGCAGTGTTGGGAGATACTCACCTTCCTTTACATTCAGTTCCACTGCTGTGTAGATGTCAGGCAGCCGAGAAATATTCACTACACACTGGTACAGTCCAGAATCCTCTACAGTGAGCTCTCTGATCAACACCCAGAACTCTGCAGCTTTGGTGTCATCAAACAGTGAGAATCTTCCACTATTTATCCACTCTTTTTGAACTCCTGTCTTGATCTGGTCAGCACAGTTTGGCCCTGAACCTTTACACAAATATTTTGGGTTTGATGTGTATTGTGTCTCATATCTACACTTGATGAGGACTCCTCCTCCTGAATATCCTGTCACTCTCTCTGATTCTCCTCCACCTACTAAAAGAAGACAAATGTCCATCTGAGTAAAGGCTTCATTTGACTCTGCTGATAGTGATGATTATTTAGAAGAGCATCTCCTTACCTGAAATCAGGAAGAGGGTGAAGATGAGGAGGATCTTCATTCTGAGTTCAGGCTCTCAGATCCACACCAACTCAGTCAGATATCAGAGCTCCTGAAAGTTACACTCTGTCTCTGTCTCCATCCAACAATGTGACTGTTCTGTGTCTTGAGCTGGGTCTTAACCAGAAACTGATGACATGCCCACTTCTCCTTTTTGACCCTGAGAAAGAGAGAGCTGCAAACTTCTTCAAGATGAGGTGTGAAACATAGTTTGATGGCACAATTATAATTTTATGGTACAAAATGAACAAACCGTGAATCTGAATAGTGGTGAGCTTTGCTTTTTTGCCCCTCTTGAGCCTGTTGTAGATAAAAACATTCTTCTGCTTATCAAGTACACCATTGTTTAGCATGTTGTGCAAGAGTTGAATAATTTGTGATACCTTTTTGCTGGTATTTCAAAATTTACTGTGGTACTATGATGAGACCAGTTATTCCATCCTGGAATCTTCATGTTCATGAGATTAATTCTGTAATTTACTGCCATCTAGTGCACAGGGTGAGTAACTGAGGATATCTGGCAGCCCAGACTGAACTGGGAGCAGAACAGTAGAGTAAAGATTGGATTATAGACACCCCAAACCACAGGATCATCTGGGAAGATAACAGTTTAAGATCACTCTGATACTGAGTTTTGCAGTTGTCAGAGGGAGCAAATTGGCCTCAAAATTGACCTGATTATCCTGTAGTGTGGGCCATGCGTAACCAATTTACTTAGTTTGAGATATTTAATACTAGCACTCAAAAAAAATTGAACAGTCCATATATGGTCTAATGCCTTTTCTTCATAGTGTCTTTATAGGTCTAGTGCTTTTTTTAAATAATGATCTTTCAAATTAATGTTTATATGGACTTCATGTTGTGCGATTGGTCTTTATTTCTCACTTTAGCACTATAATCACACATGTAGCACATTAATATTTATTCATGAAAAATATGCTGACTTTTCCTGTACACGTTTACACATTCATCACAAAATATCAGACAGCATCCATAATTTTTTGAGTTTAGACTCTGGTAGACTGAATCTGATTGGATGGTGCGTTCTCATCCCGTATCTGAGTTCAGGTAGATGTAAGATAACAGCATGAACAAACAGTGGGCAGGACTAGTGCTGAAGCACCTTCCAGGGCACTTAAACTAATCTTCATTCTTTTGGTTTGTTTGTTAATATATTTGTTTTTTATGCACATTTTGCTGGTAACCTGTGTAAAACCGTTATAGTCTTTTGGTGTGCCTCTATTTAATATTAATTTTTTTTAAACTAATATTTAATTATTAATTAAATATTTTATTTACTTTTCTTGCAAGCACTAAATTTCTGTCTGAGCTCTGTCCGAACCTGACAGAATACTTTGCCACTATACAGATGGCAGACCTTGATGCTGTCCAAAAGGCTGTTAACAATCAGGGCCAGCTCCTGGGATGGCACCACCAGATCCTCCAGATTTAATCAGTTGAAAGTGAGTTGAAAGTACAACAAAGTGAGCAACAGTCTCAGATAGGTCAGCTCATCACCGGTATGAAAAACAAAGTCTAGCCAAATTTAACATCTGACTCAGACTACTCTTCAGCCTACCAGCTCCACAACTAGTCTTGTAAGCAACCCATTTCCTCTTAGTAAGCCTGACAAGTTCAATGGCTCACCCGAGAAATGTAGCAGATTTTTGTTTCAGTGCTCTGTGTTTTTTTTAGTAATTCTCCTCTGAGCTCTAATTAGGTTAAAACAGTGTTTTTGGTTTCTCTTTTGACTGACAAGGCTTTGCACTGGACTACAGCCATTTGAGACAATGTGCAAAATATGACGTATGAAAAATTTTTGCTAGAACTCCGCACCGTTTTTGACCACCATCGTGAGGGACACACTAGCAGTAAATGGCGTCAAGGGAATTGCTCTGTGGCTGCCTATGCCTTGGAATTTCACACCCTAGCTGCTGGTAGCGGATGGAATGAGCCAGCTTTGTTGACTGCATTTCACTTAATTCTGATGTGTTAACGAAACTGGCCCAGCACATCTCCTGAACCCATGCAGTGTAACTCTTCAAGTCTGTCTAAGGAGGAGAGACTTTGACATCTCTGTGGGGGCTTGTGTTTGTACTGCAGCACTACGGGTCACGTGTTACGTAATTGTCAGTCTCGCACACACAAGCCTCAGACGGCAACCCCAGGAAAGCGCATGGAGATGTGGTGAGTGTTTCTGCTAAGGGGTTGGTTACGAAATTATTCCTTCTACCTGTAACTATTCCCTGCCAGAACTCTTCTCTCATCTTCCCAGCCTTGATTGACTCCAGATCTGAGGGAAATGTTATGCGTGCCGAGGTGGTGTCTCAACTGCATATTCCAGTGGAACCTCTCAAAGTATCAGTGATGGATGGAAAACTGGTTGGCGTGGGACCCCATTACACAAGTCATCCATCCCGTTGAACTACAAACTACCTCACTGCACAATGATAAAACTACATTCTTAGTCTTAGAGTTTTCTGTCATTCACTTCCATGGTTAGAAAAATATAATCCTCAAACTTCATGGTCCGATAAAGAAATCACAGCCTGGTCAGACTATTGAAGAAACAGCTGCCTAGCTTTGCTTGCTGTTACCATTCACTCTACTTCAATGCAGAGCCCTGACAATGAACATCCCATTCAGATTCCAGAAGTTAACTCACATCTATTAGTAGTATTTAACAAAACTAACGCTATTAACCTGCCATCCCTCCGCTCATGTGCTATAGATCTTATTGAAGGTGCCACTATCCCTAAATCCAGAGTTTACCCACTTACTTTGGAAGAGGAAAAAGTCATGGAGAAATATATTAATGAAGCTTTAGCTCAAGGCTTTATCTGACCCTCTACATCTCCATCAGCCTCTGGCTTTTTCTTTGTAAAGAAGAAGAATGGTGGACTCAGGCCCTGTAGAGATTATAGTGCGCTTAATGAAGTCACAAAAAAAATTGCGTACCCCCTTCCACTCATCCCTGTAGCCCTTGAATGGTTCAGAGGAACACAGTACTTTACCAAGTTAGATTTATGCAGTGCTTATATTTTAATCAGAATCCAAGAAGGCGATGGATGGAAAACAGCTTTTGTGACCACTAGGGGGCAGTATGAGTACCTTCTAATGCTGTTAAGGCTCTTTAACACCCCCTCTGTCTTTCAGTCCTTCATTAACAACATTTTATGGGATATGATAGGGAGGTTTGTAATAGCCTACATTGATGACATCCTGGTGTGTTCCCCTGATCTTAACATTTACATTCAGTATGTTTGCCAAGTCCTTCAGAGGCTACTAGACAATCAACTTTTTGTAAAAGAAGTGTGAATTTCATCTACAGACAGTATCTTTCCTAGGTTATGTAATTAGCACCAGGGTATTTATGGATGATCATAAAGTAGATGCTGTGGTTAACTGGCCCATCCCTATGTCTATGAAAGAGGTTTCTAGGTTTTGCTAACTTTTATAGAAGGTTTATTAGGAACTTCGGCTATATTGTCGCTCTCCTAACAGCTCTTCTTAAAGGAGCCCCCAAGAAATTAGTGTGGAATCCCCATGCAGAAGTAGCTTTCAATGCTCTCAAAATGGCATTCACTACTGCACCCATTCTCAAGCACCCAGATCTATCTTTACCATTTGTGGTAGAGGTGGATGCATCTGAATCAGGAGTCATTGCTGTTCTGTCACAACGTGGCGGAGATCCCCCTAAACTTTACCCGATAGCCTTTTTCTCACACAAGCTCACACCTGCAGAATGATACTACAGTTTAGGAGAATTACTTGCAGTTAAACTAGCTCTAGAAGAATGGCGCCACTGGTTAGAGGGAGCTCAGCACCCGTTTCTGGTCCTCATTGACCACAAGAACTTAGAATACTTGCATTCAGCCAAACGCCTTAATCCCTGTCAAGCTCTGTCACTTTTCTTCTCACATTTCCAGTTTAACATCGCATTTTGTCCCAGTACCTGCAATTCCAAAGCCGTCTCGTATTTGTCAGAATGACAAAGAGTCAGTCAGTGAACCTAAAACTATCCTTCCCTCATCAGTTCAGATCGCTTCTATCCATTGGGAATCAGACATGGAAATCAATCAAGCCCTTACACAACACCAACATTCGTGCCCATTGCCCTCCAGGTGAAACTTGTCCCCAAACAGTTCAGAGATTGTCCACATGAGACATGCACACAACAGTTCATTTCCAACCAGTATTGTTAAAAAATTTATTTAATCTTGTTCAGTTTATGCACAATGTAAAACCCCTAAGACATTACAAGCAGGGAAACTAATGCCATTTCTTGTGCCTAAGTGCCCCTGGTCTCACATTGCCATAGATTTTGTCAAAGATCTCCCACTGTCAGAAGGTCACACTACCATCTTATTTGTAGATGACAGATTTTCCTGCAGTGTCAGGTTTGCACCTTTTCCTACAATCCCTGATGCATTTTAGACTGCTCAGGCTATTTACAGTCACAATTTCAGAAACTATGGTATATCAGGGGACATTTTATCTGATAGAGGCCAACACTTTATCTCTCGTTTATGGAAATGTTTGTTTTGAACATTACGGGGTCACTGTTAGTCTTACATCCAGTTGTCACCCTCAGTCTAATGGACAATGCAAGAGGGTTAACCAGGAACTTGGAAAATTCCTGAAACTTTGTCACGACAACCAATCTGACTGGTCTAAATATCTCATTTGGGCTGAGATGGCCCAAAACTCTCTTGACTGTTCAGTCACAGGAGTGACCCCATACCAGTGTATTTTGGGCTATCAACCTCCTCTGGCACCCTGGATCTCCATACCCTTGGATGTACCAGCCATTGACGACTGGATGAAGGGAAGTGAGGAGGTCTGGGAGGAAACACACTGCAGGATTGAAACAGCTCTCCAGCAGGGCAGGGAGCAAGCAGACTGTCGTAGTGGAGAGACCCCCTCCTTCCAGCCTGCTGATCGTGTGTGGTTATCAACTCAGGATCTCAGTTTTAGGGAGAGTTGTAAAAAGCTCCAACCTAAGTATATTGGTCCCATCCAGATTGTCAGACAGATTAATGAAGTTACATACCAGCTTGACTTGCCTGCTCAGT